CTTTGGTAAATTCATTCAGATCCCTGGCCATGGAGATTACTTTATCCTGATCACCCATTGATTTTAGTTTAGCAGAGAATGCCCCCCTTGCCCATAAAGACTTAATAGCTTTGAGAAAGCAGCTACAGAGAGAAAATGAGATGCTGTGTAAATACATTTAACAGTTCACCCCAAAATTAAATGAGTTCAGAGCATCAGAAATAGGAAGCAGGAGGTAATGGCCTGCCATAAACACTGAAAGAGACCCCGAGTGATTCTATTGGGAAGGAGGTTTTACTTTGCTGAGGGCATGAACACACAGACATCACTTTTAAAGACATGTTGGGGGAAGGCTGAGAGCCGGTGGGGTGTGGGAAGGGGAGAGGGAAGAGCTACAGCTCATGATCTATTCTAAATGATTTAATTTGGAAAGATCATGGAGTAAGTCCTCAAGGAATCCACTGTGAAGCACTTAAAGAACAAAAGGTGATCAAGATCAGTCAACGTGGCTTTACTATGAGCAAGTCATGCCGGAACAATCTGATTTCCTTCTACGATAAATGGCAGGCTCTGTGGATCAGGGGAGAGCGGTGAATGTGGTACACCTGGACTTCAGCAAGGCTTTTAATGCGGTCTCCTGCAACAGCCTAATTACCAAGCTAAGGAAATACAGACTACATGAAAGTACTGTAAAGTGGATACATAACTGGATGATGATTCATTGTATTTTGCTAGTAGTCCTCAATGCCTCAACATCTAACTGTGGTTCCCCAAGAGCTTGTCCTCATAGTGGTATGTTTAACATCTTCATTAATGATTCAGATGATGGGACCTAGTGCATATGTAGCAAGTTTGCTGATGACACCAAGTTGGGTGGAGTGGTGGACCCTCTGATGAGCTGGACAAGTATCCAGAAAGACCTGGGTAGACTGGTGCACAACCAACAGGTGAGATTCAACAACTGTGAAGTCCTGCACTTGGGATGGAATAATTGTATGCACAAACGGACTGCAAAAGGACTGACAGGGAAGAACTAAGCCTAAAGAGGAGAAGGTTGAGAGGGGACTTGATAGTGGCTTACCGCTATATCAGAAGAGTGCATCAGGAGCTTGGTGAACAACTGGTCACTAGGGAACCCCTGGGGAAGGCCAGGACCAATGGATATAAACTCCTGGAAGGCCGTTTTAGGCTTAATACCAGGAAAAACTCCTTCAGTCAGGGTGACCAGACTGTGGAATAAACTCCCTCCAGAGATGATGCAGTCACCTACCCCGGAGGTTTTCAAGAGGAGACTGCAGAGTCACCTCACTCGGGTTACTTGACCCCAGTTGTCTTCCCGTCTAGAGCAGGGGGGCTGGACCCCATGATCTGCAAGGTTCCTTCCAATCTATGAATCTATGAAACTTGACAGTTACAGTGGACCATAAGCTGAATGTGCCAGTATACTCTCACTGCTAAAAAGGTCAGTGGCATATTCAGTTGTATTAACAGGGGTATCTTTTGCAAATCAAGGGAGGCAATTCTTCCTCTCTATTCTGCACTGGTGAGGCCTCCCCCTGGGAGTACTGCAATATACTGTATTTACTTGATTGTAAGATGAGGTCCCAGTACTTAACGTAGGGAGAACCCCTTGTCTTAGAATCACATGCAATGAAGGCGAGGAGAGGGAGCAGGCAGTTGCTGTGGCTCAGGCTCCAGCCCCTACCCAGGGTTGAGAGTGTAGCTGCAGCTGCTGCCTACCACCCCACCCATGCCACCTCTGCACCCTGCCGTCCCCCCCGCAACACCACAGCCTCCTCCTCCCCTCCCTGCCCCTTTCCCTTCCCTACCTTAGTCTTGCTCCACCCCAGCACTGTGCACATTGCGCCCTGGGGCACTGAGCTCAGCCACCACAGCATACAGCCCAGCCCGCACTGCTGCTCCAGAGTTGGGCGGGGGCCATGTTTAGTGCTCCAGTCTAGAAAGGGGACAGAGCCTGTTGGAGCAAAGCAAGAGCAAGGGGCAGGGAACAGAGACTGAGGGGGAAAGGAGGGAGGAAAGGAAGCAGATGTTATGGGAAGGGGAATGAGAGGAAACAGAGGTGCAAGGGGAGGCAAGCAGGCAGGGACAAGCAGAGGTGGCAGGGGGCAGTTTGCTTGACCTCCCTGCTACTGCCTGCTTCCCTGCAGCAGTGGGAGGGATTAATTAAAAAGACAACTCCCCAATAATTAGATTCTATACAAGGAAAATTATAACAAATGCATAATTTTGTCTATGTACAGAATCCAATCATTGGGGGGGCAGTCTTAAATTCAGGGTCATCTTAGATTCAAGTAAATACAGTACATCTAGGCCCTAATTCTGCAGTTCACTGGTGTTCGCCAAGTTGACATCTTCTGGAAAACATTTATGGGGAATATTGGGTCAAAGTTTGGTCCCAGCCTTCCTCTGACACTTGAAAAAACTGTAGAGGGCTGCTTCTTGAGCTCCAATACTATTTCCCCTGGCATCTATGCAGAACAGAGACTTTAGGAGGAAGTTATAAATTTAGGGTGATACATTCAATTGGTGTCACAATTCGTTTCCATGTCCATAAGAAACATCTGAAAAGGAAAAAGCATTTTACACAATGGTTTGATCTACAACACAGTTTATTTGTAAACATTTATGTTACATGTGCCAATAATTTAATTGAACACAAGATTTTGTACATTTCAAAGTATACTATTAACAATGTCATACTAGAAGACAAAAAAAAACAACTGTATTTCAGTTACAATTGCATTTTTAAACTTTAAAACCTTCAAAATACAAACCATTAGAAATGCACCAAACAAGAAAATAAAAAGAAGGTCTGAGAACCCAGGCTGAGAGAAAATATGAACTGCTGGGTAACAGTAACAGCTACAACAAAGCTTTTTAGTTGGTTCCAATTTCTCTCAAGAAAAGTCCAGCTAAAATACTGCTTAGGTCACTCCAGAGCATGCTGGTTTTAAGATATATTTTTATGGATGTCAGATACCTAAAAATACCTTTAAAATGTTACCAAATGATTTTTCCATAATTAACAGAATCCTTAGAAGAGGAAAGAATCTTGCATTACATGGACTTGATTCATAATGCTATACAAAATAAGATTCTTTTGGTCTGAATGGAAGTCTTTCTTTTTGTTTGTACTATGTCTGAAAGAAAAGATTACATGCTTTGAATAAAGCCCCTAGACCATACCAAGTATTAGGTTTGCAAATCAAGTTTAGGATTTTTTTTTTAGTCTCTCTTTGGTAGTCACCCAAGGTGTCTATCCATGAGTGTGGAGGCTGCTCTGACATGTGATGAACTGAGTCTGCTCTGACGTGCTGGAATTCTAGCGTCTGCTGGAACGTAGCAATTGCTGCGCTCCAGCAGCTTTCTCCGTCTTGCGTATCAGCGTCCCTGGACTTTAAAACGTCGGCATGGGTGCTTGAACTAAAGCTCGAATGAGTTTTAGTTCAAGTACCCCACCACCATTTTTAAACATGGGAATGCCGATTACAGGAGACGTGGTGGCGCTTTAATTAGAGCGGTGCTCAGAACTGCTCTAATTAAAGTGCTGCCAGTCCCCCCCACCCCCCAAGCACGTGTAAAAGTGCCCCCACTCAGTAAAACTTTTCAAGCTTATAAGTATAGTTAGGTACCTAAATTTGTGTTTAGGCACCTAATAAGGATAATTCATGGTCAGACTTGATTTTCAAAAGCTGCAAAAGTGCCTGATAACAGTAGCCAACAGTTTTGAAGACCAAGCTACTTTTGTTTAGGAGCCGATTCTCTTTTTACACATTCACTTACAAAAACTTTAACCAATAACAGTGAAGGACAAAAAGCATTAAAGACAAAAAAAAGCCTTGCATTAAAACTTTAGAACTCCCAGATGACTAACTTTTGTAAGAGTTATAACATCATGTACATATCTTTTTATATACAATGTAGTGGAGACAATACAAAATATGTAGCTAATTAATCTTCTAAAGCTCACTGCAGCATTTTAAATAATGCCTACAGTACTGAAACGAAAAGCCGCCACCTCCAATGGAGATCTTCACTCTGCTGGTCATCAGAATTAAAACTCTCCATGACAGATATCAACTTGTCTGCATTCTATGCTATTTCTCTCCCTCCTCTAATATCTAGTAGGAATATGCAGCATTTATCCTTCTTCTTTAAAATTTCCTTTGAAGGAAATAAGGCAACCAGTATGATTTTTAAAATAAAAAGATTTATCGGCTTCCAATACAAGGTTAACCTTTTCTTGTTGAGCAAGTAACCAACACGTTACACCAAGCTCTATAATATATGGGCAAAACAGAAAAGCTCAGCTGCCGCTGGTAAAAAATGGAAAAAAGGCAAATAAGGAGAGCAGCATTGATCATACCAAAGTCCAGTTTCTCAGCAGACAATGGACACTATATTTACACTCAGAGGAATGTACGTTAATGGGATGTGAAACCAAAGACGACTGGCATTTTCACAGTTCTAACTCAAATAAATGTTTTATCATATCACGAAGCATCTTCTCCTATTGAAAAATATACAAATATTTTCTTATCCCCACACAGAACAGGATACAAAATTAACTTTTATCATGAATAGTTTCTAGCATTATCTGTGCCAATATGACCTAGACTCTGTTACTACCACATTGCAAGGGTTGTATTCATTTTAAAGATAGAATATTTAAATAAATAGCCCCAATAAAGAACAAAGAGGTCAGCAGAAAAATTCAGATGCTAATCTTTGAAGCCTTATCATTTTATATATCTTGTTTTCCTAGCGTACTAAATTAAATGAAATTTGGCAGAAGCCATCTCATAGAGCTCATAGAAAAACAAAAAATAGCGATGCTGTACAAATTCCTGCCCCTTTCTAGGAAGGGAACTTTGATACATTTACAGTGATTAAGTGGATCAATTCAATTAAAAACATTAACATTTTTCAAAACAAGCAGCGGACAGTTCAGTTTTGGGGGGGAAAAAGACATCTGCCTGCAGGTCTCTCGTTGCATTTTCCCCCCTTGCTGGCTATACCCAGAATTCCCAACAAATCTGTTCTTTTAGTCTACTCCTCCTGTTTACTCATCATCACCACCTGCCACTCAAATTTGCTGTGGAAAGCACTGAAGCCACAAACCAATTAGTTACAATGTCACAAATACACCTTAACAACTTCAGGTAAAGAGGCCAAAATGTTCAAGGAACAAAGATCCTGCTTTCCTGTAAAAATGTTCTAGTAAACAATGGGCACAGCAAACACATCGTTATATAGGTAACGGATTTTGCCAGAGGTAACCAAATTGATCCCTGGTGTAATTCAAATTTCACCATGAAATTATGCCAAAGATGAAATTGACCTTTACAAAGTTTGCCTCGAGTCATCAGCATGGCATCAAGCCTTGATGAATTAGATTTTTACATAAAAAGAAAACAGCGAAAATTACTCGTACTGTTTTGCCAAACCCTCAGTATTAGATCAATTTAAATAATTTACAAACAGGCATAATTCTTAATGCCCCATAACACCATCATGATACTGGATTTTTAATATACAATACCACCGAGCCTTTCAGAGGAAGAGCCAAATCTCTTACCTTTTACAGAATAGGTATTCAGTAATACAATACAAAACTAAACCAGATTTATGTCAGAGTAATGAACATATAAAACAACTATTACAGTATTTTTGTGGTGAGAGTTTAGAAATTTAACAATCAGAAAGCCTAGAAAGGGTGTGTTTAGAATTATAAAAGAAAGATTGTCTCAAGATAAAAATATAGTGCTGACAGCTAAAAAGCTCTCTGTTGCAGCTGGATATGCAGTAATGAGTAATAAGTTCTACACAGTGGAAGCGTTTCCCCAATACTGCAACACACCACACTAACACTACTGTAATATGGGTTATGCTGCGGCAGCCTTATACCTTTTAGTGGCTGGCACTATAAATTAATTGTAATTGATAAAGAAAAGGCATTAAGTGAACAATGCATGGCAAATCCAAGCTATTTCATCTGTTCTTTAGGTATGCCTGAAATAAAAATTGAGGAAGGCAATCGTCCATTCCATTCAGATAATGCACCTTCTTTGAAGATTAAATTCTTGGCAGGAAGAGGAACGCACATATCAGCAGAAGGGTGTGAAAGCAAACTTGAATTAACATCAGAGAGCAGATCCAATGTTGAAATACCTTCCTAGAGATGGACAGGGAGGACAAAAAAAAAAAAAAGGCATCTGTAAAACAGGAACAAAGAATACGGTTTACAAACAAATGGAGTTCCATTGGGCTTACATAAACCACAGATCAGCACCCTGGAGATTCTCCAAGTTACTTTAACCCAAGGGAATTTCACATTCTGTAGATAAATACATTCACCAACAAAAACATCAAACATCACTTGATGCCTCTGCATACTTCTTTCTGTGAACATATGTACAAGCCCTTTCAGGTCCAAAGGAGCCTTCTGGAGAATCCAAAAAGACTGTGAGGTCATCTAGTCCAGCCATTTCAAGGCAAAATCATCTCAGACAAGTTTCCATCTAATCTGCTCTTGAAAATTTCTACAAAATTTTCCCAGGCTGCCTACTGCGTTAAGAATAACCTTGTACCTAAAGTCAACAAAAGATAACCAAATCTCAGATCCAAACTTCTCTAACTTCCTTTCCACCAAAAATATGAGCAAATTTTACCCCATTACAGTAAAAATGACTGTGATCCACCCCAAAAAGGTCTTTTCTAGAAGAGAATCGATCATGCAGAGCACTTTGATCTATATTAACTATTTAAATCTATCTACTTCTCAGGGTTGGGATCCTCGCACCCTTTGTGCCTCAAGCACTGATGACAGCCTTATGTCATATATGTCATACAACCAGCACCACAAGGTTGGATGCATTTATTGACCCATATTTGGGATACTTGGAATTCCTCTATAAGCAGTGTTTTCAGCTTCAAACATACAAAGATCTGCTTCAAGAATTGTGTGCGTCATTTCCAATTCTCTTTTTCATTTCTCAAATCTTTTCCTTATCAAAAGGAATCAACACATTCTTTACTACCAAACTGTAGCTAAGTACATTAAAAAAATTCTAAAACACAATTCAGTCAATTTTTCTTCTTTGGCCTATCCTACATCTCTCTTATAATACAGCCTTTTCTTTTTGGTATTAACTGTGTTGCATAAAACAAATCTGATCTTTCTGCACCTGTTACGCAGCAAATTCCAGTTATGTGGTAGAGTGAAACGGGATAGTAAGTGATGGAGATCGTGTTCTTACTGGATTTTGAATGCTCATTTTATTTTTCTGCAGAATTTATTATACTGCCATTCTTCACCTTGGTCCTAAATTTCACCCTTTCTGATTATGAACCCTTCCTAGAAAAGTTTAGAACAGGGTCTTAAGAGCAAGAGGAAACCATAGCATTCAAATAGGCCTCCAAGAAGACATTCAAGTGCTCTGTAAATCAAGGGTCTTCCTTTTTCCATTGACCCATTAAGTCAGCCCATCAATATCAATCTTCTGATATGACTTCCAAAGAGCTTCAAAAATCACTTGCATTGATTCTATTAGTGACTGGATTGAATTGAATTCACTGAATTAAATTACTGTTCCATGTTCAAAGAGGAATTTGGTTTCAAGGTAAAAGTATGAGCAGTAGTTGCTTTAGTAATTTCAGATGTTGTCTCATTAGGCAAAGATGACAACAGCATCTTAACTATTACATGCAAAAGTATTTTTTGCCAAAACATGGCAACTGTATGACCCCATAGGTGTGGTACAATAAGTAGGGGTCTACCCAACTCAATGAGGCAGACAGCCTGCTTACTGGGCAAATTATGAGGCCAGCTGCCATTTTTGAGGGCTTATCAGGCTGTGTGACCAGGAAGATTGTTGGCTCTCCCTGGGGAGCCAGCATTTTATTTTAAGTAAGCACCCCCCACCACCACTCCGCCCTGGATTTAAGAGATTGCTCGATTTCATGATTTCTGAGCAACGGTGATTTTGGATAGGTCTGTAATAATGAGTCGTTAAAAGGGTCTCAAATGAGAAGAGAGAAGCCATTTCTCATCTGCGTGGTGTCAGGGTAGAACTGAACACAGACATTTAAGGGGAGAGGACCTCTAACAGATTTCATGTTGTCAGATATATGGCTTCCATGATATTCTTAAGGTGAGGTGGTTTCTTCTTGAAAGCAGTAGGCTTAACCTTATCTGGTTAAATCACCACTCCCTCCAACAACTGCTAATCTTATTTAAAAAGGAGGAACTACTGTATTTTCTCATAGAACATGCACCTTCCTTTTCCCCAAAAATCAGCACCCCAAGATTGGGGTATGTTTTAAGTGGGGTAAGATATTTTCTTTGCTAGAAAAACAACACACCTGGAGACACTGTACACGTCATGCAGCTGCCAAGATGGCTGCCACTTCTGTCTGCTCAACAAAACAGAAGGAGCAGAGTCCAGTGTTAACTCTCACAGCTCTGGCTACTGGCTGAATGCTGTATCTCTTGCCCAAAACAAGAAGTGAGCTGCTGGTAACAGCCTGAGGCATGTGATATGGAAACAATACTTTACTGTAAGGAACAATTTATATATGTTCCTGTAAATAAAGTAGTAACAGTAAGTAGCAATAGACCCCTTTGCAAGGATCTGGGGTGCTACCTTGGATGACAGAGTAAGTCCTGGAAACAAAGAGCAGAAAGTATAGCACTGCAGGAGACAAATCTGACCCACATTGAGGTCCAAGTGTGGTCCTGATGCCACATTTCCTGGACACTGTATATCAGTCATCCATAACACTGGAAGTCTTTTTCTCTATGTTCTACCACCCAAAAGCCAAAATGTCAGTTTTATTTGGGGATGTACGATACGCAAAAAACATATGGTACATGGAACAAGCAGCATGGACATGCATGTAGGAATCATGCTTAGTTACTTTTATATGTAGATATACATATATGCACAAAGAGCCCAAAGGATTCAAGAAGTGTTCACACAGCAACTATGGAATTTGAGGCATAATGGAGGTTACCCCATGGTGACCACAGATCTATCCATCACTGCAGTGCTTACTTTAAAGAACAGAATTTAACATCTTTACATCTGCCACTCAGACCGCTAAATGTACATGTTAAAGTTTTACTTAAAATTATCAAAATATTTCTAAGCCAGCCAGCCAGAACTTGAAATCTAATTAATATTGAAAAATATAAAAATCAGTAGTACCTAAAACAACTTCTGTCCAGAATCTACCTACAAATATTTAGGACTTTTCTGAGCTCATTTTCCTACCCACATTCTCTCTCAAGACCCTCGCAAACAGGAAAATCCATTTTACACTAAGACATAAAAGCCAACAACAAAACTGAATGAGATCAGACAAGAAAAATATTCTGCTAGTAATACTTTAGAAAATACTGACTTTTTAATTTGACAGTGCCTTTAAAAAGGATCACAGGAAAAGGGAAAAAAACCCAGAAACATTTTGATTCCTTCCGCTTACCTGGAATGAATGAACAAAGTTAAGGACCTGTAGAGACAATTTTCTACTGGAATGTAAGAGTTTCTGAAGGCTGTCAAAATGAACAAAGTGAAAGCTGGATAAATACAGCAAGTAAGATTAAAAGGACATACACTCAAACACAGACTTGCAGCATTTGCTACATTTTATGGAAGTGCCGAAGCACCAGAGGTCATTGTCTTGAAAGTATCCTAACATCACCTGTCAAAGCAAAGCTCTAAAGCAAAACAAAAAACCCATCACACAGAGCTTAGTGTAATACTATTATCACTGCATCAGAAGGTAAGTTGCTAACTGAACTCCAACCCTATCTGCTCTAGACTTTAGGAGTTGTTCACTCCAGTAAAATGAATACCATATTTTCTAGCAATATTTCAGTTTTGTTACTACAACAATACAAACTACAGCTAAACAAGTTACTGAACTGCATGCGTTAACAGCCAGTATTTTTTATCCTGGTCCTGAAGCCTATCATACACTTAATCAGAACTGCCAAGCAGCTCATCTTTGCTCTTATACATTTACAGCTTCAAAATTCCAGGTTTTGTATTGCCAAAACACAGATAAGGTTACATATACAAACAGCTGCGGGAAAACAAAATCTCACCTTTCTTTTCGACACAGTCCATGAGCGGCAATTTTTCGGCAGACTTTCCGGTTTAATTCTGAACTAAAAAGCGGAATGCCAAAGCACAGTTCCAGGGGAACCCATTCCAATTCTGTTGTGGGTACTACAAGAGATATGCCACAACTTACTGTAAAGAACAATCAAATGGAGATGGGGAAATAAGGGAGAAATAATACCTGAGGTGATTTCCATCTCCCCAAAATTAAATAAAAACAAAAAGAAAAAACAACAACAAAAATCAGCTGTTGTTCTGAACAGTTCAGTTTCCACTACCCATTCTTCCCAAAAAGAAAAGGGATTCGTTTGAAGAAGAAATCCTACCAATGCTAAAAGATTCTTTAAGAGACGTGCATTAAAATGTTTTATTATCCTATTGTGCTGTGTCAATGTGCAGATGGTCTTTAAAGGTGTACTGTTCGTTTAAAAAGAGCACAGCCCCAGGGGAACCACTAAGCACACTAGTACAGTGTGCACAAAGACTAGATGCTTCTATCCCGTAAGAATCCAGTTTTCCACCATGAAACAAATACAGGAAGATTTTATTTTTTACCTTCAGGGCTTTGCTTAGATGAAGGATCCAATGAGCTCTCCTCTATTACCATTTCAAATGATTCTGTGCTCCCATTTACATCAGATCCTGATGCTAAGTCAGTCTCACCTAAATATAAAGATATTTCTTAAGATTCCATCAAACATTAATTGCTTCCTAATGTTCAGAATATCATTCAGAGATACTTTATATGCTTATTATCAGTACACCACATCAACTTGTGTTAAAAAAAACAACAAATAGTCCAAGGGCATTATTTGGACTAGGTTTGGGCTTAAGAGAATTAAAAAGAAAATCTGGAATTTAATATTCCATTTAAAGAGAATATTTTTTTTTGTTTTCAAAATGCAATGACATCTACCCTTTAATTCTTTAATAAAAGCTTGCATTTCATCCTTCCTTTGAATGTTCAAATTCAATATGCTTTTACCATTTTCTATTTAAAAGGAGACATATGAATTCAAATGAGGACTTAAGCAAAGACTAGTAGTTTGCATGGATAACTTACCTCTTCCATCAGAAGCATCACTCAGCTTTCTGTTTGCGTGTTGACTAGAAGGGTTCAGCATGGTAACATAGCCACAGAAATGCTGCAAATCTACTTTGTCACTCAATATCTTCAAAGCCTTGTGAACACTCACGTTCACACGAGAAAATTCTATTGGAAAACAAAAAAGTATATACACCATATATCTCTTTGCCATCATAAATAATGGATGCAAATGTGGCTCTACTGCAGTCTACCTATAGGTAATGATGGATAAATTTCTAATTTGGAGGTTCGTTTGGGCACGTGTATATTTCCCTTCTTCCTGTATCTGCGCTGGAGGAGTTAGCATACTGTTGTGTGGTACAGGAACCAAGATAAATCTGCTCTCCAATGAACAAGAGGAGAGAGGGAGGAGGAAAGCACACAAGTGAGAAAAAGAAGTACGAGGTTAACAGAAATACTTCCCCTTATTGAGGTGGGAGAGAAAAAGGGCAGCAGGCTCCTATGAGGGGTCTCAATGACACCCATGCTTTTCACTGAACTCCATTCTCAGTCTTCCTCAGTGAGTTAAGAGGTAGGTGCAACAGGCATTGTGAAGTACATGAAAGAGCTTCAAGCTTGGCAGGATTTGAGTCTAATAATGAAGAACCTATTGGCTTTTCACCTCCAGCTGTGGATGATAAAAGGACAGGGAGGGTTGAGAAAGGACCTTGCGGCTTTCTTCAAGCTTTTTCCACAAGAATCAAAAAATTTTCTACTAAAATTCCAAGAGGACAGGAGGTGAATATGGGAAATAGCTCATGGTGAACCTAAAAATAACAGGATTCAATTTGGTTTGCACTTCGTGAACTACCAATCAATACAGATTCTGATATAAAATTTCAGGGCTCATACAAAAATTTCAGTCTGGAGCTATAGAAGCTGAATTGGTCCTTCCTTGATCCCTCCTTCAGTATTCAAAAACTTGCATCCTAATCAGTCAACCATTAAGAGGATTTTCAAAATAGTTCATTAGTTTATGATTTAATAAAGCCAAACTACTCCAGGCTTGAATACAGAGAAAGGAGATGTAAAGAGCTAGCAATAGCTTTTAGAAAGAAATCCGGAGTCAAAACATTACATTGACTTGTTTTCTATACTACAGGAATGCCCATAGGTATCCATCACAATAACTTAGTTAAGCTTACCAAATGCCAAATTATTTTCTACCGCTGGTGCTCTGTAAGAATCATAACAGCAAGGCAAGACTTACAAGATGAAATGAAGGAGGTGTTACACAAAAGTAGAATTATACATTGTTTCTATAACTTGGTGCCAAGCATAAAGAGCAATTTGGAAAAGACCTGTACCAAAAACAGTGCTAGGAAATATTAAAAGTTAATTCCATCCTGTATCAGGGAGCCAGAAGGCTCCTCTTACTTTAAAAGGAAAATGTAGCAGGCTAAGGTAAATCAGGGAGGACTGGCAGCTAGGAAATAAGCTACCTGCTAATGAACTGGCTGCCAGCACACAAACAGACTGCAAGTCACAGGTACAGGCTAACCTTGGAAAGGAACTCACCCAGGGAATGGAAGTAGAACAGTAAAATGCACCAAGGGCAGGCAAGGAGGCAGCTAAGAAGCAGTGGGCTGGAGACAGATAGGCGAAGTCCCAGCAGGGAGAACAGGTAGGTCATCAGGCACAGAGGGGAAACTTCTGCGAGTGCCTGCAGTCGCATGACCAGATGGGACTGGGCTTAGGAGACTCGTAACGCCAGTTCCTGAGTCCAGGCAGACAGTCTGACCCTCCTAGTACTGTATAGAGTAAAGAGTTCCCTTCATAGAAAACTGCAGTGGGAAGCTCTGCTGACTCCTGGAATGCCTTGATAATACCAGTAAGGTAACTGGATGCTTCCTGCAAGAGGGATAGGACCCAGGTCAGGACAGAAGCTTGCTAGACAGTTTGGAGTTTTGTTAGAGCCAGAGTGCTTATGGTTTGGTTTGGACCTGAAAACTTGCAAAGAAAGACTTTTTTTTGCTACTATTTAGTTGGTCTAATAAGAGGTAATGCCTCTGGCCAGGGGCAATGTGTAGGGGGTGCATGCAGGTGCACATGCATTCCCTGAGCGTGGCAATGCACTCCCTATAAAAAGCTGCAACCGACACTGTTAGCAGCGCCTGCAGGCAGTTGTCACTCGCCACCCCACGGCTGACTCCACTGGCAGCGTCTGCAGGCGGTCCACGATCCCTGCTGGCCAGCAGCAGCTGCAGGTGGTTGCCAGCCTTTGGTCAAGTGCTCGTCCCCCGCCCTGGCCACTGACAGCACCAGTGGCGTCTGTGGGAGCTGCCCTTACCACCACTGTGGCCACAAGTCATTCATGCCTCTGGCCCAAGAGTTCTGTTTGTCTTTATTTCTTAGACCGACCAGGCTACGACACGTACCCCTGAAATATGGTTTGGTTTGAATTTTAACCGGTGGCTAGTGTTTTGGATTACTGAGGAGGTTGAGGTCCCAGTCATGTCCAAAGGATACGACTGCTTTGGGCCCAGCCAGGGGTGGGGTTCAAATTGTGAGAGAAGCAGAGACAGGACCCGGGGCCCAATGCCCGAGCAGGATGTGAACCAGGGTCAGGGAGCTGCAGCCTAAGAAGGGCAAAACAAGTGCCCCGCAGGGGCAAGAACCACGGTCAGGGACCCATAAAGTGGGAGGGATAAGATCAGACCAGAAGAGCAGAGACCAGGGGCCAGAGGCACAGCAGCCTTTGAAGTGTGAATTTTGGGGCCACAGGCCCAGAGACACTGTTGACTGACAGGGCTGAGAGACGAACCTGAATCCGCAGACCAGGAACAAAGGCTTGCAGCCAAAGGAAAGGGAAGCTGAAGCCAGGAGAGCTGAAGCCTCTACAAGGAACAAAACAGTATAGTAACAAGTGAGAGGCACGGGCACTGCTGTAGGGGAGGTCAGAGGCCATGACCAGCCTATAAAGGTGATGAGTGCCCTCGAGCACATGCAGACCAGGAGGGCCCACTGGCAGGAATAAACCAAGGCTCACTATGACCCATATTCTAAATGTATTAAGAATAGTAAGGCGTGGCTGGAAAAGGGAGAGGACCTCAGAGAGAGCAGGGCAGGAAGCATATGGTCACCAGGAGCATCACAGCCGCCCCTGGTATAGGAACCTGTTACACAGGGAAAGAAAGGGAGTCAAACACATTGGAAGTTGGAGGGACATTTATAGGGATGAAGTTTGCAAACAGCCTTTGAATGCAACATTTAAGAGATGTATGCAACTTTCACTTCAAAAGTTCAAATGAGCAACATTGTTGGCTCTTGTATTAGCAAGTGGGTTTCAACAGGATTACTGCAAACACCTGTGGCAAAATTCATATTAAAAGATAGTTACCTCCTTGTTGCTCTACTTCATCAAATGGAAAAGGTACATGCACTGTTTCCCCCATTCCGTGCATTCCATGTCCCTAAATATCAAAAAAGTTAAAGGGGAAAAACAACTGTATAGTTATTGCCACAGTTTTTTAAAGCACAAATAGAAAATGAGCTCAATAATGCTTATGTAACAAACGAGTAGACCAAAAAGAACATGCATACATTAAAAATTTATGCTAGCTACAAGCTTTAAACAACTATTATTGTAAATGAAAAAAATGACACTGTGGTAAAAGAAGACTATATTTCTAAGTTTTAATATGCCCAACTACAAACATTTATCACTGTTAATTAATTTCCAGATATCACTAGCATGGGGACAACCATCCCGATCTGTACTCAAATAATTGCTTCTCTTTTCATTAAGGCAGATTTAGTCAGAGCTGTTTGTAGTATACACAGCATGAATGCTACATAATATGATTAACTTTTGCTATTTGACTGACTAATTCTTTTGGTCACTTCAGTGGTTTAACAAATCAAGATGCAATTTTCTTTGTTCACACCTAGTGTCACAGTAGGTTAATGAAAAAAAAAGATATTCTGAAATTACTGACATCAACTACATGTCAGTAGCATCACTAAAGAACTTTTATTTCAGAGGTTTAAGAAGAATAAGAATTCTTTCCAAATCATGCAATAGCAGTTTCTCTTAGCTACAATCCACTCTCAAGTGTTTTTTTTGTTTTGTTTTGTTTTGTTTTATAGACAGGAAGGACAATCACAAAGCTACTTTTCATATGCTATTACCCCATGCTGCTCATCCATGTGGGTACCAATGATACTGCCAGGGGAGGCCCTGAGCAGATCAAAAGTGCACAAGACTCTGGGTGCACAAACAAAGGGGAGAGGCGCTCAGGTGGTATTTTCCTCAACCCTTCCAGTCAAAGGGAAGGGCCCAGGCAGGAGCAGATGCATCCTGCAGATTAATGCACGACTGCACAGATGGTGTCACTAGCAGGACTTTGGCTTCTTTGACCACAGAATCTTGTTCCAGGAAGGTCGGCTAGGAAGAGATATGATCCACCTGACAAAGACAGGGAAGAGCGTCTCTGCAGACAAGCTTGCTAACTCAGTGAGGAGGACTTTAAACTAGGTTTGCCAGGGGGTGGAGACCAAAGCCCTGAGATAAGGGAGGAACTGGACTGGGAAGAAGCACAAGCAGGAGAGGACAACAGGAGAGGCCTTCTAATTCTTCCTCAGAAAGCAGGGCAATCAGCTGGTTACCTCAGGTGCCTCTACACGAATGCATGGAGCCTGGGACACAAGCAGGAAGAATTGGAAGCCCTAGCACAGGCAAGGAACTATGATGCAATTGGAATAACAGAGATTTGGTGCAATAGCTCATATGACTGGAGCACTGTCAAGGATGGGTATAAACTGTTCAGGAAGGACAGGCAGGGCAGGAGTTGAGCTTTATGTAAAAGCCATATGATTGCTCAGAGCTCCACTATGAAACTGGAGATAGGCTTGTTGAAAGTCTCTGGATCAGGGTCAGAGGGGAGAGCAACAAAGGTGATGTCATGGTGGGGATCTGCTATAGACCATGAGACCAGAAGGCTGAGGTGGATTAGGCTTTCTTCAAACAGCTGGTGGAAGGTTCCCCAATCGCAGACCCTGGTTCTCATGGAGGGCTTCAATCACCCTGACATCTGCTGGGAGGGCAATACAGCAGTGCACAAGAAATCCAGGAAGTTTTTGGAGAGTGTTGGGGGACAACTTCCTGGTGCAAGTGCTGGAGTGGCCAACTAGGGGCCATGCTCTCCTTGACCCGCTGTTCACAAACAGAAAAAACTGATAGGGAATGTAATACTGGATGGCAACTTGGGCAACAGCAACCACAAGATAACTGAGTTCAGGACCCTGGGGAAAGGAAGGAAGAAGAGCAGCACAGTATGGACCCTGGATTTCAGAAAGACAACTTTAATTCATTCAGGGACCTATGGGCAGGATCCCCTGGGAGGCCAGTCTGAGGGGCAGTCTGACAGGGAGAAGAGTCCAGAAGAGCTGGCTGTACTTTAAAGAAACTTTACTCACAGTGCAGGAACAAACAATCCCGATGTGCAGGAAGACTAGCAAGTATAGCAGAAGAACACCTGGGCTTAGTAGGGAATTCTTCAGTAAGATAAAACACAAAAAGGAAGCTTGAAAGTGGAAACTGGGATAAGCAATTAGTGAGGAATGTAAGAGTACTGCTCAGGCATGCAGGATGAAAATAAAGAAGGCCAAAGCACAATTGGAGTTGCAGCTAGCGAGGGACATTAAAGGTAACAAAAAGGGTGTCTACAGGTATGTCAGCAACAGGAGGAGGATTAGGAAAAATGGGGGAGGCAATCTAGTGACAGAGGATGCAGAAAAGGCATCCTCAATGCCTTTTTCACCTCAGTCTTCAGAGGCAAGGTCAGCTCCCAGACTACTGCACCTGGCAGCACAGTCAGGGGAGGTGAGTAGCCAACCGTGGTGAAAGAACAGGGCAGGGACTATCTATGATGAGATGACTGGCGCTGCAGATGCAGGAAGAGCGACGAATATGACAACTTGACTTTAGCACGGCTTTTTGTATGGTCTCCCACAACATTCTCACAACCAAGCTAAGGAAGTACAGACTGGATGAACGAACTGTAAAGTGGACAGAAAGCTGGCTGGACTGTCAGGCTCAAAGGGTAGTAATCAATGGCTCAATGTCTAGTAGACAGCCGGTATTAAGTGAAGTGTCCCAGGGGTCAGTCCCGGGGCTGATACTGTTCAATATTTTCAGTGACCTGGAAGTTGGGATGGAGTGCACCCTAGGCAATTTCACGGACAACACCAAGCTGGGGGAAAATAGTGGATATGCTGTAGGGTAGGGCTAGGATTCAGAGAAAGCCTGTTAAATTGGAGGACTGGACCAAAAGAAATCTCGTGAGGTTCAATAAGGACAAGTGCAAAGTCCTGCACACCGGACAGAACAATCCCATGCACCAGTACAGGCGGGGGACCAACCGGCTAAGTAGCAGCTCTGCAGAAAAGCACCTGGGGTTTACAGTGAATAAGCTGAATATGAGACAGTGTGCCATTGCTACCAAGAAAGCTAATGGCATACTGGGCTACATCAGGAGAGTTGCCAGAAGATGGAGGGAAGTAATTCTTCCCTTCTATTATGCACTGGTGAGGCCTCATCTGGAGTACTATCTAGTTTTGGGGCCCTCACTACTGAAAAGATATAGGCAGGTTGAAAAGAGTCCAGCAGAGGGCAACAAAAATAGTTTGGGGGCTGGGATACATGACTTCTGAACAGAGCCTGAGGGAGCTGGGCTTATTTAGTCTGCAAAAGAGAAGACTGAGGGGG